GACGACACTGGAAGCCGCGATCCTCCACATCGGGCAGTGCTACATCGACAAGCAGGACTGCAAGAGCATCAAGCAGCTCATGAGCGCGACGTTCCTGGCGACGTCGTGCCTCTCGGCTCTGGCGTTCATGATCACGAGCTCCTTCCTCGGCGTCTCGTTCGACTTGCTGGCCCCAATCCCCTGGATCAAGCGGAAGTTCCTGATGAGGAAGAGCCGGAGCGCGGCGGCCATGGAGAATGGAACCCCCGGCCACGACGCGAACGGCTTGCACGAAGCGCTGCTGCCCGAGAATGGAGCTCACAGCGAGGAGGACGACACGGTTCCGCGGCAGGCCTCCGAGACGATGAACGACGGCTTCGACCTCCAGGGGCGGGACTTAACGGTGTACCCGCTCGTCAAGGATCTCCACTGGGGGATCCAGCGCTTCGACCACGCGCAGTACTACGCCTTCAACCTCACCATCTTCGCGCTGGTGATCGTCTACTCGACGTTTGCTCCGGTGATGATCCCGTTCGGCGCCTTGTACTTCGGCTACCGCTACATGGTGGACAAGTACAACTTCCTCTTCGTCTACCGGGTGAGAGGCGCGGCCGCGGCCAACGATGGCAAGCTCATGGGGACGGTGCTGCGAGTAATGAGGCTCTCGCTCTGCCTCTACCTCGTCGCCATGCTGCTCTTCTTCTACGTCCGCGGCGATGGCGAGAGGCTCCAGGTGCTCACGACGCTTGCGCTGCTCATGGTGGTGTGTGCCAAGTATGGTATCGAGAAGCTGGTGTCGCCGCCAAAGGATGGCTTTGATCTCTCCGTGATCCAGGGGCTGAGGACGGTGGACGAAGTTGTGGAGGGGGCGGAGGTGGAGTACGAGGTTCTAGCACGGCCGAATTTCCAAGGGATTTGAATGGAGCTCTATGATCCAGAAAAGTTCTTTCGATCAGTCATTCTTTTCTCTTGAGAATTTTTTCTTCCTTGTAAATGGTGGCTCGAAAAGAATTAATGATCTTCTTCTATGGTTATGGTAAATGGTGACGATTGAGGGGTGTTGGAGGTGAAGCTTAAGGATTCTGTTGTTGTGAGCGTGTCGAGACATCTCAGCTTGCTGCTCACAAAGTGTGGCTGCTTAAGTCCATTTGAGACCTTGCCATGGATGTCTTCTTCATCATCACCTCATACCGTTTTTTATCCTCTCTGGCTTTTCTTCTCTGCTCCTTGGCAAAAGTCTTTATCAATTAGCTTGCTTCTTTACCTCTTTTGCTGGCTTTTGATCCAACTGTTCTTTCAAAGATCTGACTTGTGCTATACTTGACTGTGAGTTGTTTTTAAAAATTCCTTTACTCCTGAACTAATTGAGGCTCTAAGTGCAACTAATCACTCAATAAGCATTAGCTACAACTTCAAGGTAAGCACTCTCATCTGCACCATTTTCCTGGTTTTCTTCAGCATTTTGCATCTGAGTGTTCTTAAGCTTCTAGCTACATCCTCTGTCCCTGCTTGAAAAAGCATTATATTTGATTTATACTTTATATCTATATCAGCCTTATCAAGCTACTAGCACTTGCCTAGCATATACTGCCTAGTTAGCAAAATACTTTTTTTATAATAAAAATTAAATTGGAATAGTATGACAAAAATAAATATTGCATTCCACTTTGAAAGAAGAATTGGGTGAATATAAAAATCAATTCTTGTAAACTTGATAATATAAATATTTAGAACAAAATATATTCCTAGGCATAAGTAAGAATAAACATTCATAATAAAATATTAGATAAAAATTATTATTTGGAAATATGAATATATTTGGAAAAATACCCAACCCAAAAAAATTAAAAATGAAATTTCTATTATTAATAATATGTTATATGTAAATTATTTTTTAGTTGGGATAAACTTATATTAAGATTTTATCAAACAGAAGAAAATAATTACTAATGTGAATGCATGGAATATGGAAAGGGAATACAGAAAATGTGTATATCAATTAGCCCAAAAACCCTAGCTTATATAGAGGAGTGAGTGGTTCAAATTGAAATCAATTTAACGGCTACCAAAATCCCATTACGCTAATATTAATATACGACATTGTAGTTGTACCCTTGGACCTCACATCATCCCCTCTTTTCATAATAATAGAAGACCATCAGGGTTTTCTTGTAGATGGGCCGAGATTTAGAGGAACGTCAAGAGGAGGCATTAGTGGATTTATAAATGGTCTCAATTGTTTTTAATCCCTTTGTATGAAGCGTTTCAACCGTTGCACATACACAATTTCTAGAGGATCAGCTTGCTAGACATCATGCTGAACTTCATAAACTTGCGGTCCAACTTGCTGTAACACTTGATATAGTCCCTTCCACTGAGTAAGGAGCCCCTTAGATAAACCACGTATCATAAGATGGGGAAAATGGACTAACACCAAGTCATCCACTTTGTACATCGCAGGTGGTTAATGATGGGAGTTATAATGTGGCCTAAGTGTTCGGAAAACTCTGCTCAGACAAGTGGAAGAATGCTCATCAAAAACTGATCCCACGACCTAGCATTAGCAACTTGTGGCAATTGTGAAAGTAAACTCAGCTCCGTTGGTAATATTGGATCATGATCATATAGAAGTTTAGATGGTGAAACACTTATAGAACTCTATACCTCTGTGACATATGCATACCAAAGAGACGGCAAATATAGTGCACATGAATTTGGAGCTGAACTCCAAGCCTGTTATGCTATGAAACGAGGGTTCAATACAATCCCATGAGCACCAGCTCCCCATATCTAGCACCTGCATGCAAAATGGTGTCAAACAGAGTCTGGCACAATTTTGGCATACTGGTGGCCTAACGCGAGGAAAAAGGTACCCCACTGACTAGAGTAGTGTGGACCTTGGGTTTAAACCCAAGCCGGACGTAGAACAAAGAGCGACACAGCCCAGTGGGAGCCAAACTAATGTCTCAAGTGGTCGGACATGCATTTTAACCACATTTCAACCATTTCCCTACTATATATTTGGAACCCCCCACAGCTCCCTCCCCCCCCTTTTGAGGAACACATGTTTTAGGCTTTCACCCCAAGCCTCCCTTAGTACCAAAAGTTAGTCTCTGGGACAAGTTTGAAATTTACTAAATATAGAATGTCCCTAGATTGCGAATTTGGACATGAGATGCTTTCCATAAATAGCATTTAGGATCGAAATGAGACTAACACAAAGGGCATGATAATGAGAGTGTTTGGCAAACATGGTAAGCTATCATCTGGCGATATTGAGGGACTAGTCTCAATATGCGAGGGTTTTTGCCAAGTCAGTGCAAAACAGAGCAAAAGAGAACTAAGAGCCAGGCTGAGAATGCTCAGCTAGAAACATAGGAGTTCCTACCTTATATTCATTTGACTAAGTACAGATGCTAAGCCCAGTAAATTAACACTTGGACAAAAGGGGCTATTGAAGAGAACCAACAGTACTGATCTTCTACTGTCATGGCAGTAAGGAAAGAGTGCCCATAAGGATTGGCCAACAAGTATTTTTTGATACCCGAAGTCATATTCGCGATAGCAAATAACCATCCCAATTTGACTACTGAAAGATCACGTACTTCGCGATCATTCCTTTGAATGTTCGAACGAGCCATTCCACCAAACCATCTGACTGTGGATGATAAGCACTCGTGAAAGTGTGGTGTATCCCAACCGAGACATCAAAACATGAAATGCCTCAGCTATAAATGCGGGACCATTATCCGAAAGTATCCGCTTTGGACAAGAATGCTAAAACACCATTCGATTGAGGAGAAAGTATCCAACAGTAGTTGCAGAGGCGCTAGCAAGAGCACCAACTTCGACCTAACGAGTCAAATAGTCAAAAGGAATAATAATATATTCATTGCCAGCAATCGATCATGGAAAAGGTCCTATAAGATCAAACACCACCAACTCAAACGGACGGGAAATTACAATTAACTCTAACCCTCCTTCTGCGGCACGAGGGGGAGTATTGTGAGCTTGGCACCAAATGCAGCTATGCACATACTGGATAACATCACGTTGCATCTTCAGCCAATAAAAAGACCTATAGTTTCTCAATTACACAACAATGTCCCATATGTCTGCCTAAAATAAGAGAATTGTGGTAGGTATAGAGAAATTGTGGAATAAAAATGGAAGGCACCACCAGCCATAAAGGATCATTAAGATCCATCCCCACAAAATAAAGAAGGCCGTCTTCAAGGCAATATTGAGAATGTAAATGCCAAAATGGCAAGTCATCAATAAGGGATGCAAGATTCTCAAACCCATCTCAAAGCCTTCGAATCTATAGCTCAATCTTTTAAGCCTCACGAACCTCCTCAAGAGAAGGTAGATCTTGCTCTACATCTTGTAGACATTGAATATCAAGTACAATAACCACCGATGGCACAGAATCCTCATCTAGAAAATTCACAGACGCTGGAACAAAAGACTTGTAAAAAACATGAGAAGAGAGTGGAGAAGGAAGAGGAGTTTAATAAAGGGCATCAACATCAGCTATAGAACTCCCAAGGTGATGAACAACATCAAAATCATATATCTAAAGCTTCAAAGCCCACTGAGTAATACGACCAACTAAGTTCTTTCACTTCAATAATGAAATAATAACAGCATAATCACCTTCAAGTAATGTTCGAGAACCATGTAGATATGCATGCAGTTTCTTAAAACCCCAAACTACTGCTAACACTCCTTTTCTATTGTGGAAGTGTGCCTAGTCAACACCATCCCATTGCATATATAAACTGTACGTTACAACTAGCAGAAGTGAACTACTGCATCAACACACCTTCAAGACTAATATCAGAAGCATCCATGCGCAAAATAAAAGGTTGAGTGTAGTTAGGATATGCTAAAACTGGAGGAGTCATCAACAGTTCTTTGAGATCCACAAACACTCGCTCACAATCTGGAGACTAGATGAAAGATGACGTTGATGACTTCAGCAATGCTCGCAACGGTGCAATGCGATCAGAAAGATGATCCACAAAATAATCGAGATACTGCACTTTGCCCAAGAAGTGTTGCACATCATTCACACACTTCAGAGTACGGAACTTTAGAACAGCTACAAGTTTGTCAGGATCAACTTGCAAACCCTCACAAGAAATACAGTACCCAAGATAAATCACGTCCTTGGACCTAAACACACACTTTGACTGCTTCAGCTTTAAACTAACGTCTTATAACCAATCCAACACTTTACAAAACATCACGAATGTGCTCTTCTCACTTCCCCTTTGAGTGAATCAAGACGTCATCAATGAAGTCAATAGTCACTTCTAGCATATTGTCCATCATCTGCTAGAAAGTTGTTTAAGCATTGTTTAAATTGAATGGCATTACCAAGAACTCGTACAAACCAAATGGTGTAAGAAAAATAGTCTTAGAAATATCTTTTAAGGCCATCGGTACTTGTTAGTACCTAGAAGCAAAATCTAGCTTAGTGAACCAACGACTTCGCCCCAGACGATCCAAGAGATCAACAGTGTGAGGAAGAGGGTACACATCTGGAATTGTCACTTCGTTTAACAAATAATAGTTGATGCAGAAATGAATACTCCCATCAAGTTTTGTCATAAAATGAGGTTCATATGCTCAAGAACTCCGCGACTTTTGAATAACACCCTTTTCTAACATCTCCTTGACGTTTGCACGTAAAGTCTTGATCTCTTTGGGTGATCGACAATGAACAGGAACCTTGATTGGACGCGCATCCCCAGTTGGAATAGGATGACATATGGCAATCTTGGCCCGAGATGATATGTCAAATTCAAAGAGATTAGAATACTCTTTCATGAGCTGGTCAACTATTGCAACATAAAGATTGTCGAAGGGATCAGAAAAGGGAAGAGCAGAACAAGACAGAAACATAGAAGGAAA